AATAATTAATAATAATTTTATAAAATTTTATCCCATGCTCTGGATATTGATAGTTTTTGCTTGCTTATGAGTGAACAGGTTTGTTTGGACTATTGGAATTCACTAGTTTCAGAGCTATTTACGTTGCATCATCATGTTGGCCACCCTGGTCTAACTCCAAGTTTGTTTGGATTGCAAGTATGGCTTATTTAGATTCTTTCATAAGATGGAGATTAGGGTTGTATATTGTGCTACTTACGTGTTTTCTTTATTTACCGATTGTCAGATGGCTTACCTTCCTCGTACGGCTGGTAGCAACAAACCGGAAGTCACAGAGCGACAAAAACTTTATGCTGATCCATTGTCAAAATTAAGGGGGCTCATGATTAGTCGTATGGCTAAGCCTGAAGAAGTGATAATTGTTGAAGATGAAAATGGGAATATAGTCCGTGAAACTATGAAGGATAATGATGTTCTTGTCCAATATAAGGTATTTTTTGTTACATAAGATATACTAGATCCTCATAGAAGGCATGGATTTATACATAATAATTAAACAAGTTATATCTCTACTTGAATCACACTTATGTGCTATATTGGAAAGAAGTTTCTATTTAGTATTTTATTATAACACTACTCTAGGTTTCTGTCATACGGTGTTCTTATTTCATATTTTACATTGTTGCAGATAATGCGGGAGACATTAATCTACCTCTCGCACCTTGGTCATGATGATACCGAAAGACAGGTACTTATTATTAGAGATGTCAGGTTATCCTTATTTTGTGAATTATATGGAGGCTTGGCTGACCCTTTTGTATTGATGCCAACTTTTTGTTGTTCCTGCAAAGATGTTGAGTAAGCTAAGCAAACAGTTAAGCGGGGAGGAATGGACATGGAACAATCTGAACACTTTATGCTGGGCTATTGGATCTATTTCTGGTTCCATGGATGTTGACCAGGTAAGATCTCACCTCTCATTGTCGTCTACTTTCTTCTTCAACTAACAACAATTGAGAATTTTGTAATGCAGTAACAAATACATTTTTTTGGCTCTAGCTATTTGGTAGCATCTTTCTAATGTTACTAGTGCTCTCTTTGTCCTGTCTTTATTTCAGGAAAACAGATTTCTGGTCATGGTTATTCGTGATCTGTTAAGTTTATGTGAAATCATCAAGGGAAAAGACAATAAAGCTGTTATTGCAAGCAACATCATGTGAGTTTGTTTGTACTGTATATTATAGATGCTTTATATATGGAAACCGGGTTGATACTTATGTACTGTGAGATTTTTACTATAAATGGATTACATGTTCCTTGGTAGCATGACATTGTCCTAAAATTTGAACTTGTATTATGCATGATTCCTTGATCTGTTTTTTGTACATTCGTTTCAGGTATGTTGTTGGACAGTACTCGAGGTTCTTAAGGGCTCATTGGAAGTTTCTAAAAACAGTTGTTCATAAGTTGTTTGAATTCATGCATGAGACACATCCTGGTGTTCAGGTAAATTTTCTTGTTTTGAAGTTAGACTTTAGAATTCGTGCAGAAGTTACATTTTCTTGGCTGAATCTTTCATAATGAAGTAAGACCTATTCGGAATTTGATTTCATTACCATCCATGTACCAACAATTATTACATCTCGGTATCCATTCATAGAAGTAATTGTTACTTTTCATGTGGGCTGGTTTATCAAAATTCTGCTCAAGCTAATATCCTACATTCTCCTTTCAGGACATGGCGTGTGATACATTCTTGAAAATTGTTCAAAAATGCAAGCGAAAATTCGTTGTTCTTCAGGTATGTACTGGTTCGTTTAATGCACATTTGTAACCCTTTGCTTTATCATCTAAAATGAGGTCATCTTTGTTTTCTTTAGGTTTGTGAGAAGGAGCCATTTGTATCTGAACTTCTGTCAGGCCTTGTTACTATTGTTGGAGATCTTGAGCCTCATCAGATTCACACCTTTTATGAATCTGTACGTGGTTTTAGTTGTGTCTCGTTTGTGGAGATGTTATGCTATTTCTTGTGGTGTTCTCAGTCTGTATGTCTGTCTGTTTTCAGGTTGGTAGTATGATCCAGGCAGAAACAGATGATCAGAAGAGGAGTGAATATATTCAGAGATTGATGGATCTCCCTAATCAGGTCTATTATTAAGCAGAAATGCACTGTTCCTTTTTTGTTTTCCATAGTTCGCTAATTTTTTTTTTCTTCGACAATGTAGAAATGGACGGAAATTATAGGTCAGGCACGTCAGAATGCCGATATCCTCAAAGATCCAGATATGATACGAACTGTGCTTAGTATCCTCCAGGTCTGATATATATCATTCATCTTCTAGAACTAGTTGGACTGTTTTTTGACTTATATTTGTATGTAGACAAATACGAGAGTTGCAACTTCACTAGGAACACATTTCTTATCTCAAATCTCGTTGATCTTCTTGGATATGCTGAATATTTATAGGTAATTTTTATACTTCTTTTCTAAGGTTTATATACTTTTTATCAACTTTATTTTGATGTTATTTAGTAAGCATTGACTATATTCTTCCTCTTGTGCACCAGAATGTACAGTGAACTCGTCTCAAGCAACATTGCTGATGGTGGCCCATATGCTTCAAGGACATCTGTTGTTAAACTTCTAAGGTAGGATGGCTTTGTATACCAAATCAAGAAAATTACAGATCTTGATGATCTATTTTATACTACAAACTTGAATAATATATAACATCTTTTGTGCTTTATGGAACAGATCTGTTAAGAGAGAAATCCTTAAGTTGATAGAAACTTTTCTAGACAAAGCTGAATACCAGCCACAGATTGGCAAACAGTTTGTTCCACCAATGATGGATCCAGTACTTGGTGACTATGCGAGAAATGTTCCCGACGCAAGGGAATCTGAAGTGTTATCGCTATTTGCGACAATAATAAACAAGTATGTCTCTTGTGATGCATGCCTTATCAAAAGAGAAGTCTTACAACAAAATATAACATGAAAATGTGTTTGTTTTAGGTACAAGGTTAATATGCAAGATGAAGTGCCTCGCATTTTCGAAGCTGTTTTCCAGTGCACTTTGGAGGTAACTTGTCTTTTATTTTTATTCTCAATCCAGTTGTTATGCATATCCCTGGAATTGACTAATGGGCCAATTCGTGTGGTCATTTTTTGTATGCAGATGATCACTAAGAATTTTGAAGATTATCCAGAGCACCGCCTCAAGTTTTTCTCGTTACTTCGTGCTATAGCAACCTTTTGTTTTCCCGCCTTGGTACAATTGTCAAGTGAGGTTGGTGTTTATGGTCTTGAATTTTTGTTTTCTTCACCTAGTCTTAGAGAGCGAGTAGCTCTTTCTATACTAATTTGGTTTAATGGTAATCCCTGAGCTTTTCCCTTTTTTGTGCCTCTCATCAGCAACTGAAGCTAGTGATGGATTCGGTTATCTGGTCGTTTAGGCATACTGAAAGAAATATCGCCGAAACAGGGCTGAATCTCTTACTGGAGTTGCTGAAAAAGTTTCAGGTTTTGAAATTTCCCCGTCAAACTTCAATCCCCCCCATTGGTTTGTGCCATTAAGTGTGATCTATAACATGTTTTATCTCTGATTGTGACAGAAATCTGACTTCTCTAACCAATTCTACCGGACATACTTCATGCAAATCGAGCAAGAAATATTCGCCGTCTTGACCGATACCTTCCACAAGCCTGGGTTCAAGCTTCATGTGGCGGTGCTACAACATCTATTTTCCCTGGTAAGAAAATACATATACAAACAACACACACAAGATCGACCATTTTTTAGTTTCTGGATCTTAAGGAAGGTGGTCCATGTTTTAAAACGCTTCAGGTTGAGAGCAAATATTTGACAGAACCTCTGTGGGATGCTTCAACAGTACTTCAGCAATACCCAAACAATGCTGCATATGTTCTTGAATACACCATCAAGCTTCTAAGCTCATCATTCCCAAACATGACTACATCAGAGGTAACCTAACTTAACTAACGTTAACCAGAGGATTAGCTCTTTCATTGCCAACTTAATCTTTTTGACATTACAAACAAACAGGTGACGCAATTTGTGAATGGACTTTATGAGTCGAGAAGTGACATTGCGAGATTTAAAGATAACATTCGAGACTTCCTTGTACAATCCAAAGAGTTTTCTGCTCAGGTATAAGATTTGGTTTCTCTCCAAAAAACACTACATTTCGTTCAAACTGTATTGAATGGATCTGTTTTCTTTTTCAGGATAACAAAGATCTATATGCTGAAGAAGCTGCAGCTCAAATTGAGAAAGAGATACAAAAGATGCTATTGATTCCTGGACTTATTGCTCCTAACGAGATTCAAGACGACATGGCTGATTCATAAACTATTTCTTAGGATGAATTTATTCAGTGGATCCTGGTTTTTTTTTCTTTTTTTTTTTTATATTGAACATTTTCATATTTTATTAAGCTAAACCGAACATCTCATAAGTTAGAAAAATATAAAACTATGTTTAATGGCCCCAAAGTATTACTCTTTCCTTTTCGAATGTAATGTTTTAGAGGTGTTTTACATTTTTAAATCAACTTAGTGTATTGATAAATATCTAACGTATTAAATGTCATGTTTTATAAACATAACACATTTTTGAAACAATGATAATATTGTATAAATAATGATCAAATGAAAAATGAATCTAATGTAACAAAATCTCAAATCGATATCATCAACTAATACAATTTACAAAACAATTGAAACATATGATTTAACTCTATAAATTCGAATATATAAAAAATAAAAACACTCCCGGATGAATTCAATTATCATTCGGTTTGAGTTTTGTAAACCGAGTTGACAATTGAGTTCAAAAAAGCAAACCAAGCCGAATCTTGAGATCCCTTGTAATAATAAGTTGTCACAAGGAAAGATGGTCTTCGTTGTGTGATTCTATCTGTTTCCTTCAGATTCATTCTCTTTGAAAAAAGAAAGAAAGCTACCATAGGGAGACAGGATCATACATAGAGGTTTGACAATGGGTCAAACTTTTAGGAAGCTTTTCGATACCTTCTTCGGCAATCAGGAGATGAGGGTACACTACACTACTCTCTCAGTCTTACTAGCTTAAACTTATTGAGCTACTCTTTTTAGAAGAAGATTAAATATCTATTTGCTTTAAGTTTTGTGCTACTCACTGATCGATAAATTGTTATAGAAGTGAACAATAGCTATCACACTTTGAATTTGAATAGAGTTGGTTACATATGGAGCTATGCACAGAAGCTACTCACAAAAGATATGACCTTTATTGTAAATCCGGCTTTTTTTTTTCTTTTCTTATAGTGATGTTCTTTTTGCTCAAGTCTTGTAGACCTTAGCTTGTTACTCATCACTTCAATACTGTTAACTAAACTCTGCTGCTAAGATTTTGTATTTGTTTCGAGAGTACAGGTCGTTATGTTGGGTCTGGATGCAGCTGGCAAAACAACGATACTGTACAAATTGCACATAGGAGAGGTTCTCTCAACTGTTCTCACAATCGGTGTGTTAGATTTTTCCTTGAAGCAGAGCATTTAGATTTTGGTCTCTGTGTGTTCATGATGTTGGTTTTGCTTAGGATTTTTGAGGTTTTCTTTATACACAGGTTTCAATGTGGACAAAAGTACAGTAGAAGAATGTGATGTTCACAGTTTGGGATGTTGGTGGCCAAGAAAAGCTTAGGCCCTTGTGGAGGCATTACTTCAATAATACCGATGGTCTTGTAATTAATTCTACACTCTTCTTCTTATTTACATGTCTATTGTCATTTCCTTGGCACTGATTTATAAGATGAGAGTTTCCAGACGGATGATTTTCTCATGTTGTTTTTGATTATTCTCTGATTTTAATTGCTTGGTGTGCTTGCAGATATATGTGGTAGACTCCTTGGACCGAGAGAGAATTGGCAAAGCTAAGCAAGAATTTCAGGTTCATACCTTTAGATAAATAAATAAAAAGTGAACAAGGCTTTTGGTAAAATTCGTCTCTGAAGAGTTTTCTAACCTCTTGCTAACTGGTTTTGTATCAGGAGATCATAAAAGACCCATTCATGCTCAACAGTGTTATTTTAGTGTTTGCAAACAAACAAGACATGGTAAAATGTCCAATTCATTATTTGAAACTCTTTTTTTCTATTTATTTGTCATTTACTAATATTCATTCTAACTCTGTGTGAACCAACCTCAGAGAGGAGCCATGTCTCCACGAGAAGTATGTGAAGGACTTGGATTATTAGATCTCAAGAAAAGGAAATGGCATATACAAGGCACATGTGCTCTTCAAGGAGATGGTCTCTACAAAGGCTTAGACTGGTTATCCTCTACACTCAAAGAGGTTAGAGCAGCTGGTCTCTCATCCGTTGGTTCCTCATTTTAACTTACTACGCCCGCCAAAAAAAACTAGGAGAAAAAATCCGGCTAGCTTAATAGATAGACATACGAAAAGTAGAAGATCAAAAGCTCATGGTGTCTAAGTCTGTCCACCATTTATATACTTTTGGCCTCTGATATGGTAATGTCACACAATCAAAACCTCTTTAACACTATTGTAATGGAAGTGCTGTTTTATTGTTCTTTTGGTCTCCACATTGGTCTGCTTCTGATTATGAAAGCTAATGTTAGTAATTAGTATCAAGTGCTTCTCTATTTGCATGACTTTGGAACTTCCTTGTTGTATATTCTGATGGAAAATGGTATAATCTGCAAAATTCTCGGGGGATTCTTAATCTCCCTTTAAGCTAATATGATGGAATGATCTTTTTGCATCTATTTCTTTGGCCAGACTGTTGTGTTTAGTAGGTTTCGCTATGGCATTAGATCACTTGGTTTTATCTCGTTTCTTGTTAGAAGAGGTGATTGAACAGAAAGCTCAATCGAGATTTAAATAAACTAGAGGAGGAGAAATAGATTTGATATGAAATTCTGTTTAGGTTTCTTGAAAAAAGAACAACCTCAAGAAAACAAAAGAAGCGACAGTTTTTTTTCCACAGAAGGAATTGATTTCAAAAAGGCTAAAATAGTTTCTTCTCTACTCTGAGCTCTTGTGTTGTTGCTTGTTCTTGATAGCAAGTTCTCTCACCAGCTTCGTAAGTTGCCTCATGCTTGCGTCTTTAAGGCTTTCTTCATCGATCATGTTCTTCTTCTTCTTAGTCTCAACCTCTGCTTCTCTCTCTCCATTGTTATTAAGAACCATCTCCTCCTCAACATTCTCCTTGTTCTTCGTGTTGTTGTCTGCAACAAGATTTAGCTTTAGGGATGGTTCGTTTGATTCTGTTTCAGCAAGAACTGAAGAAGTTGGAGTCTTCTTGTCTGAAACAGAAGCCTCTTCTAATTCAGAATCTATCATTTCTCCAGTTCTCAGACTCTTTTCATCTATCTCGCTTATCTCATAATCAGACCATTCATCACTGTCTGATTCATGAGGTGAGGAAGCCTGAGTCTTCTTGTCTGAAACTATAGCCACCTCTGATAAATCATCCATCAGCTCATCAGTCTCGCAACTTTCTTCTGATTCTTCAGCCAGCAGAACCGTTGGGACAGTGTCTACATTACTCACATTATCACTAGCAGAGACCTTAGACGCAGATGCCTCTTTGTTTGTCTCTACACCACCAGAATCATCATCCTCTGATTCAGATTCAGAATCATTCTTCATTTCTTCAGACACCGATTCTTTGCTACAGGTCACAGTGTGTGTGGTGGTAAAAGCAGCATGGTCTTCGACTAGAACAGAACTCTCTGAAGCTGGAACGGTGTTGGACTCTGTAAACAAGAGAAAAATGAAGTAATGCAAACAAGAAAACAGTGAAGAAAACCACTATTGATGAGTGTGATTATGTGTATACCTGTTCCATTAATCTGTTCCTTGCAGGTTGTTGCATCAACGAAAGTGATATCACCAAGATCACCATATAAAACATCAACATCTGGATCATTCTTCAAACCATCCCACTCCTTCTCCAATGAATCATTTAAATCTCTCACTGAGATAGCTTCACCCTCTTGGGTTTTCTCAGAGCTGTCCTCTGATTTTTCCTGAAGTTTGGAACCTGCATATTACAACTTAACTTGATTACTTACTAATTTAGAGTAACACCTGCTTTTAAGAAAAATGAATATGTATTTGCAAACCTTCACTGTCAGCATCTTCCTTCTTTTTTGAAGTTGCATTAGTCTTCAAACTCAAGTCAGCCATGGATTCCTCTAGTAATTTCACTGATCTCCTCGTGCTGTACACTCTCTGAACTGACTCAGATGCTGCAGCTGGCTGAGCCCTTCTTGTGCTTCTCACCGCTGGAGTTTTGCTCTCCTCCAAATTCACAGCAACTGAGGCTACTGCTGCTCTTCTACGGCTTGGAGGTAATGATGGATCAACGTTGGTGTTTCTGTTCTCTTGCTCCATTTCTCCAGCTAAGGACTTGCTAGTGACAAGACAAGAACGGGTCACAAGCTCTGATGGTTGAGTTTCATCTTTGGTCTTTCTCCGAGTTGTTCTAGCTGCAGTGCGTGCAGCACTCGGCATATTCTTGGCTACACTTGTTGGAGACAGGTCACGTGTGGACTCAGATTGGTTCATGAACTCCTCAATACCTTCAACCTATTAACATAAAACATTCACACACAAATGTTAATATCAAACACATCTGACTCTAGCTTGATTTCAAATAAAAAAGGCATTCAAGGTTGTTTAATTTATCAGATCTTAGATACATTTCAAATGAAATCTGTGGACTCAAATAGAATCTATAACTCAGGATCTGAAACTACTTAGAGTAATAACTAAACGACATGTTCTGGATAGTTACAAGACACAGATCTCAGTTTCATTTTACTAAGAACGATAAAGATGCAAATAAAGTTACTAGCATTTGCCATTGAATATTGACAAGAGAATAGAGAAGCAAAAAAAAAAGAACTTACAATCTCAAGAGCTTTGAGAGCATCGGTCATGGCGATATTGGTCATATTAGCTGGGATCTTGTTCTTCTTACAGAAAAACTGAAGATCTCTTCTCGTAAGACTGTCGAAATCCATCACTAGATGAGGTGAAGATAGAGTGATTTTGAATTCTGATTGGGGTAAGAAAAACGACAGCTGAAAAACGAGAAGTTTCTTGTCTGAATGAATCTCTAAACTGTCTAAAGGGTGTATATATATATACACACATTACTCGATAGAGAAGCCCTACCTAAATGACCGTTACAGCGTAAAATTTCGAAATTTTAACGGGCCTTAAAATAAAAAAAAAGCCCATGTATTGTGCCAATGGGCTTATAATTAATTAGGTAACGTAGAAAGCACGTGTTTCGGGAGCGCGTGTTTAACTCAAAAGCAATCACCATCCGTAGGAGAGAGACACACGGAGAGGAGAGAGATACAAGAGGACGCAGAGGTTTCAGAGAGACACTTAAACTTACATAGGTTATATAAACAGACGGCGGAGATTTGTTCCAAAAAAAAAAAAAGAAAACAGACGGCGGAGATTTGTTCCAAAAAAAAAAAAAAGAAAAAACAGACGGCGGAGAGCGCATAGAAGAAAAGTTTGTTAACCTAACTTCAAGAAAGCGTACGGTTATGGCAACTATACAAATCTGATTTCAAATCGAAGCTTCTTCCTCGCCGTATTCACTTGCTTCTGTTAGTAACGGCGGCTTAGCTCCTTTTCAGGTAGATCAATACTTGTAACCGTAGAAGAAAACTGTTTTTAGTCTCTGGAGAATAGAATGGTAGAGTTTTGAGGCGTGTTAGTGAGATAGAATAGAGGAAGTGTGATCTTGAGTGTTAGAGAGAGAGAGTGATGGATTGGACGGTGGGGTCGATTGTGTGGGTGAGGAGGAGGAACGGCTCGTGGTGGCCAGGGAGGATACTTGGACAAGATGATCTTGATTCTACTCATAATAATATCACTTCTCCACGATCTGGAACTCCGGTGAAGCTTCTTGGGAGAGAGGATGCAAGTGTGTAAGTCTCTTTTCTTTTTATTCTCTTTAATTAAAAATAAAAAATAAAGAACTCTGTATAGGTTTTGGATTTATCATTTTTGTTGATTGTTTTAGGGATTGGTACAATTTGGAGAAGTCTAAGAGAGTGAAGCCGTTTAGGTGTGGGGATTTTGATGAGTGTATTGAGAAGGTGGAAACTTCGCAAGGGTTGACAGTTAGGAAGAGAGAGAAGTATGCTCGTAGAGAAGATGCTATTCTCCATGCTCTTGAGCTTGAGAAGGAGATTTTGAAAAAGGAAGTGAAAGTAGAAACTGGTAGGGCTAGGGGTGAGGGTGACTCTCCTGATGATGGAGATAAGAAGAGAATGGTTGTTTCTAATGGGACTTGTGACCATGTTGGTGATGATGCTATGCATTTGCATAAAGATAAAGTGGAAGATGAGCCGAGTTGTGAGGACGAGGAGCAACCTCGAATGAGAGGGTTGATGGAGTTTGGGTTAAGAACCACCTCTTCTAAGCGGAAGTTTTCATCTTCTAATGGTCCTGATACTACTTCCTTCAAGTCTCTGGTTAGAAGCAACTCGTCAGCTTCTTCTAGTGGAGATCATAGCATGGAGAGGCCCGGTTATATCCTCGGTAAGATTATTTTGCAAAGTTCCTATGTGTGTGTAATTCCAAGATGGAAGACTTCTGGCTCTTTTTGACATAAACTTGTTATGTTGCAGGGAAGGAGAAGACTAGGAATTCGATGGAGGCTAAAAGGACTAAGTATATGTTTGCACCAAATGAATCTAATGATGTTTTAGATCGGCATGAGAGTTTGCTAGGCCACAGGGAGGCAATGCGTTATTCCTTTGCTGGTGGCGATTCTCGATATTCGCTTTCAGAATATGACCCTCCTGATTTTTTGCAAGATATTGAATATGTTTCTTCTGAATCCGAAACTGATTCTTCTGATATGGATGAGGATACTGATGATGACATTCACTTGCTGTCAGGTGAAGTCTTTCTGGATATCACATAAATAATTATTACTTTTTCGAAATTTGGTTTCATTGTGTTAAACCATACTCGTTTCTAGTTCATTGTAACTAATTAACCTTTTTGGTAACTAAGACTATAGTTATCTATGTGTCGCGTAGATTCTAGTCGTTCCCTAACTAGAGTTTGAATTCTCTCTTCTCAGGAGCTGGGCGTCATTCAGAGCAACACAATACTTTTAGTAGACACATGTCAGCAGAAGATGAAAGCACCAGTAGCGAGGAAGATTGTTATGAGTCATCCATTTCTGGCGACTCTTATCATCTTTATTCCCAAGATCCTGATAATGGAGCTGGTACGGTTTCCAAGTGGCCGCTCAAGGGAAAAAGAAACATGCGTAATCTTCCAAGAAGGTCTACACGCAGGAGGGAAATGCACCGTTATCATCTGGAAGATGGAAGATATTCTGAATACAAGAGAAGAGCATTTGGCCAAAAACCTATGGGTTATGGATTAGATTCTAGTGGGACAAATGATATGAGTGATGGAACTGATGACACTGATCCCAACGAAAGACAGTTTGGGGATAGAATGATTGGACTAGGTGATGATGAGTATCGGCTGTCAACTATGTTTGCATCCGAGTCTAAGAACATCTACAGCCATGACATGCTGGACTGGGATGATGATCCTTGGGCAGGCCAGATTGGTTTGAAGAAACGATGGGAAGGAAAACTTGAAGGTTCAGATGCTTCTCATCGACATATTGGAAGAAAAACGTATTCTCCAGTGACGGATGTGGATGTAGAAGTACAAGGAAGCTATCGGAAAGGGCCTGTCCCATTTGTCTCCCTTATGAGTAAGTTAAATGGCAGAGCAATAACTGGACATCCGGTCGAAGTCGAAGTCTTGGCCGATAGTTCCTCTGAGAGATATTGTCAGACAACTGAGTACTTTGGTAATGAAACAACTTACCATGAGAAACCCTTGTTACTCCCCCCTGCTTGGAAGACTGCAAAGAGGAGCAGTTCACGCACTCCACGGCTGCATCGGTTATCATCATCGCTTGAAGCCGATGGTGAGGATCTTTCTCCAGCAGATCAGGGACGAAAACCACTGCTAAGGAAACTTGGTTCGGGAAACTTTAGTAATGATGATAACTCAGTGAGGAGAAGCAATCTAATGGGCATTCCACGACCACCTGGAGAAAGAAAGAAGCTGCTGAAGAACACAAACGCAACCCCTAGTCAAAAGACAAGAGCACTATCGTCATTCAGCAGCGAACAAGCACTACATGGGATAAAGGCGTTGGGGGATCGAACTCACGAGCTCTCTAACAGACAGGTGTTAACGGGACCACCAACTGTGGCCTGCATACCGGTCAAACTAGTGTTTAGCAGATTACTTGAGAAAATAAATAGACCGTCATCAAAACCAACCCTGAAAGCCTTCAACGAGAGAAGAGATCAATAACAAGAGCTCTCTACTCAAAGCCAAAACGAGATTTACAGGTACAAAACATATGATGGCTCTTTTTGAGGAACCATCAGGCTTTTGTTATGTGATGGCTCTGAGGGAAAGTTAGTCGTAGGGAGAACAAGTTACGTAGAGATACCACTGGTTCGTTTTGTATATTTTTCAGTCACTTGGGAAAGCTTTTGTGTCTTTGATTTAGTTTCAGCTTTAGATTTATTAGTCTTAGATAGTTTTTTTCTTTTTCTTTTTGGTCTTTACTTGCTGTATCTTTTCTGGCTAATCAATTTACACATTGGTCTTCAGAGATGCTAATTTTATGGTTTGTCGTTGGGTCAAGGCTGGATAAACCGGTTTAGACTTTTATTAATTTCTGTCTTCCAGAACCGATTTGGTTTCAGCTAATGATTTAGTTTTGTAGACCGAAAGAATGTCAAAATTGATAAACCAAACTGAGCTCTGGGCTTTGAGCTTTGAGCTTTGAGCTTTGTTTTATAAAAGGCTGGACCTCAGCTCTATTTGGCTGACTTTGTGATTGGTTTAAGACAAATCTTACCAAATAATTTCAGACAAATACTAGAACTTAGAAGGCTGTTTAGGACATCATGTTTACAGTTTGGGCCTGAAGAATCTATCATGTGCGGAGGGCCCGTAGGAACGATCCATAAACACATAAAATAAAGTTTGTGCATCAATCATGGCTCAAAAAGTCACTGAATCTGTTCAACACACTTGGACACGTATCGTTAGATTCGTCACACAGAGATTCTCGATGACCTTGTTCTGTGTGCCATCTGTTTCCACCCACCACGTAACGTGCATCCAGTCTCCGTCCATTTCTCAGCTCTTTTCACGTGTCATGATCGGGTAGACCAACCATTCCCCAAAATATCTTATCTCCGACCAGAAAAAACTTTATTATATATACGACCGCAAAACCAGAACCCATGTTCATGGGCGTGAACATGTTACTTGAGAAACAGATTTCACAAGATAATGTTTTTTATTCGAATATTCATTACGTAACATGCCCAAAGTTAGATACAAATATTGCAAGTTTAATACAAAAATCTACAAAGAAAGTATGCTTACATTTATCATTTAATTTTAATTAAGGGCTGACTATATATAGACGTTCGTTATCATTGTAAAAAATTTGTTTGTATATAAAAAGGGCACTGTGTACTCTCTCAAGTCTTGATAAATCATAACCGGCTTTGAAGGAAAAAAAAATGCATTATCAAGAACAGATGGAGTCTCTTATGTTGGGTGAAGAACGCAGACGCGGAAACTTAGTTAGAGATCCAGACGCAGACGCAGACGTAGATGAAGGTTTTAACTCTCCCTCTTCTTTTCCAAACTCTCCTGACGATTCAGACCGTCGCAGTTCCTCTTCTTCAAGGTAAGAACAATTAAGGAGTTTTCGTTTATATGCCCCTGTATTTTTGGATTTTATCATTTATCTTCCTCTTGAGTTTAGATCTGGTTAGATTAAGGGTCTTTATTTATAAATCCTATAGTTTAGGGAAATAATACGAAAAGGATTTAATTTAGTTCAAAATTGTTGTGTATTTGTAAATTTACCGCCAGATTTAATGTTTTGAAAAAATGTTTACGACAGGAGAGGATTGTCGAAACATTACAGAGGCAAGTCACAGTCATTCACGTCGTTGTCTGAAGCGCTAACAGTGGAAGATCTCGCGAAACCTGAGAATCCTTTCAACGCAAAACTGAAGCAGCGAAGGGAGAGCTCTCACTGTCGACGATTATCCGGATGCGGCGGTGCATCAGAGCGAAATCTAGCTGGCCACCACGACGGTTTCTTCGCCGGGAACGATAGGCCGCAGAGACTTTCCGGTAATAGACTGCCTCCGAGAGCTCAGACGCTTTCGGCGGCTCATATATCGGCTTTGCTCACTCGAACCTAAACCAATAAAAGCTTTTTAGTTTATTTGTTTATCTAAACCGGAACAGAACCGGGTTTCGTTTGGGACGATGTTTTTTTTTTGAGCTTCAGTTCTTCTATAATTGTGTGAGAATGTATAAATTATAAGTATTTTGACTCTTCTGATCGTTTCGTAATCTGAAATTAGCTCAAGCTTACTTCACTTCACCATATACACAAGAGATTTGGGATATTTTGAAAATACCAAAAGTTCTAGGACGCTTTTATGAACATTTATAAGATATGAGCTAATTCGGCAAATAACAAAAGTTGAGGGGTTCCTTGTGTATTTTATGAATTATTAATCGGTTAGATAGAGATGACGTGGAGGAAAGAAGTATCAGTATGACGAGGCTTTGACTCGCGTTGCCGTACAACCAACATTTGCTTCCACCAGAAGTTGGCACCCACGATTCAGTCTTTGATCCAAATTCAAACTCGTTCTTTGGTTTCAGACATCAAAAGACAACTTTATCAGATCAGAACTCGCTTGAGGTTTTTTGATTGTTCCAATTCACTAGGAGATTATTATATGGCAACCTTCGAGATGAATGATCTTAAAAGTAAGTTCTGATCATGAACTAGTAGTATCTACATGGGTTCCTATGTTTCTTGGTTATGGTTCTGTTGTGTTTCCTCTGTTTATGTTCTGTTGTGTTTTTTTTCTTATTATGTAATGATTACTGAGTTGGGCAAAAAATTCAAAGTCATGTCGTTGAAAATTGTGATGATATTTTGCGCAGAGATTGGGCTAGGCTTGACCGGATTTGGTGTCTTCTTTACATTCCTGGGAGTCATATTTGTGTTTGACAAGGGACTCATCGCCATGGGAAATGTATGTACATGTACCATACTTGTGCTCTTAGTAAGCATTTCAAGGTTATATTTAACTCTTATGTGATCATCTGTCTGATTAAAACAGATACTCTTCTTAGCGGGTGTCACTCTAACCATTGGGATTCAACCAGCCATCCAATTCTTTACAAAACGGCGCAACTTTAAGGTTCTCTCACTAGTAACCTCTTGTTTTCATTATGATCCTACAATAACTCCACCGTTTGGTGTTTTCTTTTCTTTGTTACTTGTGGCTATGCAGGGAACTATATCATTTGGTTTGGGTTTTTTGTTGGTTGTATTTGGATGGCCTATTCTCGGTTTGCTTCTTGAATCTTATGGATTCGTTGTCCTCTTCAGGTTAGTTTGAAAATCTTGTTGGTTTCATCACTTCATTTTCTAGTTTTTTTTTTTGTTATTTGATGTCTTTTCGCCATTCTTTTGTCATGTTTAAGTGGTTTCTGGCCTACCCTCGCTGTATTCCTTCAAAGGATACCTATACTAGGCTGGCTTTTGCAGCATCCATACATCAGATCGGTACATTTCTTTGCTTTCATCTGAACTCTCAGCCTTCTAGATCTAAACATATATGTGCATGATATACTTTCAATTGAAATTTTTATCAGCTGCTGGATCGTTACCGTGGAAGGCGTGTTCCTGTCTAATCCCTCTCTTTGCACACAAGTACATATCATGTAAACTACTGTCTATACTGTACTTAGGTAGTACATATGTATAACACTCTATAGTTCGTTGTAACAAGTAGTTATTGTAATTGGGTTTGTGAGTAATATTTACGTGTAGTCTTGTGACCATTCCGCTCTTTATTATTCTATAATCATCTCAGTCCATGTAAAGAATCACGTTTGTTAACCATAATACATTTGTTTAATTAAGTGTACATTCATAACCATGTATATATAAGTACGGTATCGGAAAACATTGCATTCTGGTATTTAAGTTTCTGGAATTCTTTTTTTTTTTTTTTTTTCTTACTTGATTTACATTAATTTGTTAAATCACCTCACTAAAACATAGATAAATGATTATACTTTTGTTTATCCTACCAAACATGGGTTTTGTTTTATCTATTTAAGACCTTGGTTATGAGGGTGATTGGTTGGGTTGTAAGTAACGACTTTAGTTTTAATTTCTATCTACGACAATTTAAATCACCAATCATATTTTAAGTAGTTTTTAAAGCTAAAGTCAAAAAAATAGAAAAGTGATTGTAGGAACCCTATTTTCTAAATCAAAAAATTATTGTTGTAGGATTATTGTAGGAGTATCTTTCTTTTTATATTTTTTTCCATTTAATTTCTACAACTACATCAAAAACATCTACAGTCTAAATTCTACAGTAAAAACTTTAAATCTACCGTTCAACCAATCACCCCCATATGTCGGTTGGGATAATTTGACAAAAGTTCCTCTTAAATTAAGCAAAATAAAATGACACTGTCCTCGATAGAAAAAAAAACAAGGAAGGATGAACTATGACTCTTTTCATTTTCTTACAATATAATTATTATTTATTGAATTTTAAATTTCAATATTACACTGAAATAGTAATCAATTACAAGATTGAGATGTACATGTATGTTAGTGTATAGTATATATAGACGCACTTTTCCAAGGCGTATTAAATCAATAGTAATCAATTACAAGATTGAGATGTACATGTATGTTAGTGTATAGTATATATAGACGCACTTTTCCAAGGCGTATTAAATCAATAACTTTAAATAAAAGAATCAGAAGAAAATCGCAAGATATTTGTAACATTGCTGAGCCATTACACCAACAAGAGTTAGTTTTGTCTTCGTGATCTTCTCAGCTCTTTGTAACCAAGAATCCTCATCCTCCTCAATAAACAGTGTTCTCTCTTCAACATTGTGATTAATAGGATTGATGTGAACTTTCAACGTGTGAGAAGGTACGACTTGGTGATATAGAATCTTCGTTGTTTGATATGTCGAGATTAGCATTTGGTTGTTAAACCTAATTTCTTCCTCGACCACCTCAAATCCAGATGAATCAAGGGTTTCATTTGTATTCACGTCTTCGTCGTTACCTTCTACTTGATTTACGTTTTCCTCGTTATATATATCAAACGAGAAGAAATCATCGATGTTTATGTTGTCATTGGTATTATCTCCTGTAAATTAAACGATTTTTAGTTATCTTTAGATAAGAAAAGCACCTAAACAATAAAACAACGTGAATCCTTAGTTATATATCTTACCTTGAAATCCAAGGTCTTGATCATTATTCTCCAAGCTCGATATGATCTTCTGCTCCTCAGTATATCCCTTTTTAATATTCGTGCATAATTTAGTTTACGTAAGGTTGAAAAGATAATTTCTAGCGGAAACTATGCTAGATGTTTACATTTATTAAATACCTGGTTCATATGATGATTTGACATCATTAACTGCTCATCATAATTGCTTATGTGGATCACTTGATCACCAACACTATTATAATGGTTGGAGCTACTTGCAGCGAAAGTAAAGTCCTCCAAAACGCCATGATTGTTGTTGTGAGTCATACTCGTAAAGAAATCACTGACCGGCGAGTTCTCTACACGCAAAGGTGGTAGAGATATGTTGTGTTGTAACATTGAGCATTCGATCTCATTATTAACCTACATTATCATATAAATCCATCATTTAAAAAAATGTTTTATAATATAATCATCCTATTTTAATAGGTTGCATGGATAATTTATACCTTATATGGAGTAGGGAACGGTGCATAAGAAGAACCATAGTATTGTGACCAATCTTCGTTGCTGATCATTGCGTTTGAGCTAAAACGTCCGTTTCCAAATCGCGGTCGGAGTGCGTTTTGAGCTTGATGAGTAGTTGAGCTGATCTCTAGATCCGAACAAGCGTCAAAACTCGAATTGCCACTCACATTCGACATCGCGTGGACATAAGACCGATGCTGATCTCTTGGCTTAGCTTCAATCACAATCTTTTTAAACACACGACAAAGTGCATATGCGTCCTGAAAAAGGAAAAAAAAAAATTAGGCTATATCCTCTATAGTGATATATACAATGAAGATGATAAGTCAAGTCTATTAGGATCCGACGAACCTGCATGCCGTATGCAGAAGGCTCGCATTGAGTTTCATCGAGTCGATATTCATGCATGACCCAACCGGTTCTTATACCATGTGGCGCGCGTCCACGGTAGTAAACCAATGTCTTCTTGGTTCCAATGGCTCGGTCTCTCCAACTAACCCGGCGGTCTTTACCTGTGGCCTTCCAATAACCGCCTTTGGTTGCTCGGTTAGTCCTCGAACCGTTGGGATACTTCCGGTCCCGTGGGCTAAAGAAGTACCATTCTTGGTCTTTGCTCGGAAGCAAGGCTTTCCCTATCATTACATTTATCATTGAGTATTATTATTCCAAAATAAATTTCAAAATTCAATAATATCTCAGTTAAATCCATGGCATGTTTAGTAAAAAGTTTGGTATAATAACGAAGGGATACAAAATTATTTTATAGCTAATGTTTAGGTGCATTTCCTGTTAGAACGCAAATTACAATTAAGTTTTAAAATCTTTAGTTGAAATAATAACAAATGAACGTGGTCTTGTTGTGTGATTTATGGATGTCTTGTCAAAAAAAAAAAAATACTAACAAATAAAATATATAATCATGCAACCAACATGTATGTATTTTTTTAACCAGCATGTATGTACTATGTAGTATTCTTCTATGCAAGTTAAAGTATATTTAGGGTTTCTTCATCATTGTTATATTCTTATTCTTTTCTTCAGCCTCTCTTGCTTACAATGGTTATAGACAGAAAAAAAATATTCTTAACTACAAGCACGGTTATTTACCGTCGAAATAAGATTTGTAGAATTTTGAAAAATATAATAGTATAATCGAGTAACGTTTTTGATATAAATACCATCCTATTTTGCAAAGGAGATTAAATTTAGTAACTCATGCATACATATATGCAGACTAATAATATTTTTACGTACCTGGTAAGTCCCATGGCTCGCACTTGTATAGATCAACTTCAGCGATAACCTCAAGTTCGATTTCTAGACCGTTAATTTTTCTTTTGAGATAGTAAGTAATTAGCTCCTCATCAGTTGGGTGAAATCTGAAACCTGGAGGTAACGAGACAGGAGCCATAGAATATTGGATCAATTTCAAGAAAGAGGGAGAGAAGGGAGAGAATAGAGAATTGAGGAAAAATTAGAGAATGTAAATGTTTTGCAATCGTTGAGGGGGAGGCTATATATAAAGAGGGGTGAAATGAAAAAGACAAAGGTGAATAAAGGGAAGGTCCCCATCCCAAAACAACAAATAGTATAAAGAATCAGTTTTAATATTTTAAATTGTCGATTTACTTTTCTACTTATTAGATTGTCCTACATCGTTAATGATGTGTATCTTGGGCAATATATATATGTGTATAGATAATCCTCCACTCTTGAGCTAGCTTTTAGGCGTGAGTTAGACCCATCACTAATATGGTATCAGAGTCCAGATCCTAAAAGCCCTAAACTCCCTAATTAATTAGTTAACCCTTCCGACCGGGTATAAAGGTCGTGTTTAACCTTCTGACTAGGCATAATTGTCGTATTTGACTCGCTCGGCCGAGTATAATTGTCTTAAAGTTTCGAGATTTCTGGCTGATAAAAGCCATCATCTCGAGGAGGGGTATTAGTGATAATATATCCCACATCGGAAATTCAAGGGGACTTTATGGTATCATAGCTCATGGTTTGGCCCAACATTATGATTTCCCACATAAACAGTTTTCTACCTATGTACCCTATAAAAATGGCCCATATGTTGTGGGTATTTCCGAGATGTTGGGCTTGGGTTGTTTCCCTATGGACCGTTTCCCACCCACATCTCGAGAGGGGCTATTAGATTGTCCTACATCGTTAATGATGTGTATCCTTGGACAATATATATATGTGTATGAGCAATCCTCCACTCTTGAATTAGCTTTTGGGTGTGAGTTAGGCCCATCACTGATACTATTTTTTGGCTGACGCATAATGTGCTAACTCTAAGTTTCATATTATAGCTTCATATATACACACAGCGAGAAATTCTCACTTCTGAGATTTTCGTTCACGTACATTAAGGTTTATTCAGAACATCATACAGTTTGTTTGTAACGTGTATTTACTGTACTTTTTCATTAAGATTGACAGGTTTTTTTTTAGTAAAAGAAACTTTGTTTGTTCATTTATTTTGTAAGTTATTATATTTAATGCTTATAAACAAAACATGGGAGATTGATAAAAAAATAAAAAAATATGTTACAAACAAATATGACCAGGAGGCGATTATGTACTTTAGGATAATAATTAATAAAAAATTGCCACCCTAAATGTAAAACCGTGTTTCTTCATTAAGTGGCCTCCTCGATGATCCCATGCTTCTACAAGAGTGGTCGGTCTGGAATATAATTACACGTGTCCAAAGCCTATTCGTTGCATGGGAGATGGAATATTGGGTTACCCCAGAACTGTTGCAATCTCTTCTCTCTTTTTGTTCTTTGGCGGCACTTCTAACTGAAATAACTGTCTCTTTTAATTGTACCCCACTTGAGACATATGTTGAGAAGATCCGACTTAATATTTAAAAAACGAAGAAGGAGACCAAAAAGCATGTATGAATATGATCAAGTGGGTCCATCAGTTGTGAACATGTGAATAAATCCTTGGAAGCTATCGATGGGCCAACCATGGAGAATCACTTCTCAACCTTTCTCATCATCGTCATAACTTTTTTTCTCTCCTTATTCCAATTCCATATTCTCCCTTCTATCTATCATCATATATACATGTACATTAAATATGATGGGCATGTGTATTAAATGCACCTACACAAATATAAAAATACAATGTGTGCATACCCCTCTTGACACATTCCCCTCACATGAATCCATGTTTGGTTCTTAACTTCTTTCTCCATGCTAATAGTGTTCACACACATTAATTTATTAGTTCCCTGATTAATATATAGTGTATATATTTTTAGGAATAAGTATATAGATTTCTTAAATCACAACAGACTGAGGAAGCAATAAAATTAAATATGTAAAACGGATTGAAACTGTTAAAGACCTCCTAGACCTAAGTTTTTTTTTTTTTGGACAAAGACACCTATAAGCCATATGTTGAATGAGGATCGATTAGTGCAATTTTTCTTTAGGACCCTTAAATTTACAAAACAGGGCCCAATAATTACAATTTATAAATCTACATAATTAAGTATTAAAACATTTTGGGCTAGCACAAGGCCCTAATTTTATACGAGCCGGGCCTGCAAAATATATTTGTCATCTCAGGAAGATATATGAGCTGGACGTGAGTTCTTGACACAGGTTTGTTTTTCTTTTCTTTTTTTCTTGAAAGTTTTCATGTAGAGTTTAATTAAGAGAAATGGGATGTTAACAGGATTTTCTGAAAACACACATATTCATCAAAATGATCTTCACATTGGGAGTAGTAGAACTTACATTCTTGGCGATAGATTTGTAATATGTTCTGACTTTCAAAAGTATATAACCTTTAGGTATATTATGATTCTTGTTATACATTTTGCATTCTTTTCTTAGCTACTGTTACAACAGTACACTAGTGGTTTTGGTCATATCATTAGCGTTAAGCATTTGATAGGAAGCTTTGCTCCTTAGTAATGTAAAAAGACAATAGTGATGTCTGTGTGATCACTCTTCCTAGTACATTGGTGACTTTTCGTGGGAGAGTGAAACTACAAAATACAAAAAGTAACACACTCTTTCTTCCTTTTTCAACTCTACAAATAACCTTAGACCAAGACTTGCCATCAAAAAATCCTCACCCCAATCACTAGATATCTCGGTGTGTACCCTTCTCTCTGTGTGTCACAGAGTCTCGAACTGTTTCCCTTCAAAGGTTTGTCCGTAATCCCAGTTTCTGGGAGCAACGTTGTAGGCTGTCACGGTTGATCTGTCACTAGCAGTCACTTCAAAAGAGAGAGCTTGGTTCTTGAGATCAGCGTTGATATGCCAGTTCTGTCCCCAATTACGACCCATTGGTAACCACCCGGTTCTAGATCCTTTGACCTTCACTGCAGCTATATCACCTGATCCCGCAACATTAGTGATCAGAATCGAAATGAAAATGCCTCCACCATCTATTGTAAACCTAATGCTTCCTTCCCTTCTACAGTTAATCCTGTGTAGATAAAAAACCAGTAGCCATGGTTATATGTTCACTCTAACCACAAAAACACCACACACTAAGAAGGATCCAATGAATCATAGTATCATAAAAACCTAAATAACAGTGATGCCTAGTGCCTAGAACTTTTTTAAAATCAGTAGCTACAATATGCAACCAATCCAAATTACACTTCAAATAAATCAATGTTCCTAGACGGTAACTTAAGTGATCTGTAAGAGTTTATAAGAGATTATTGTTTAGGTGGGGCCCCTAACCGAAAAAATCATTATAGAAAAATGTTTAGTTTAGGTCTAATTGCCAATTTTAATGTCTTTTTTAGAACACTGGTTCAACCATAGCTGAATCTTTTTGTTGAAACACTAGTCTACTCAAGTCGTCAGATCAGGGGTAATAAAGTAAATTACTAATCCGAGACAGCATCTAGGGGAAACAGAGCTCATATAAAGCACACGGATATCGAAGAAGACAAAAGCAAAAGCATCATCATCATCACTTCAACTGTTTAAATATTTCAATTTGAAAAGCGCGTTTCCACTACCGCAAACGCATTTCTCAAGAAAACGCTAATTAAAGTAACTACTGTATTTTTTTTTTTTGAGGAAAACGCACCTTCGATACTGCACCGGCATGTTACCAGCTTTCCAAATAGCGATCTTCTCAAACGCCTCAATAGGCAACACGAAATGTTTATTCGGAGGGTTACAGTGACCACCAGCTTCAAGGTCAAAACCGTAATTAGGAGCACAGAAGTTCGTAGCGGTTACAATGATGGAAGTTCCAGGGATACACCAGCGTAGATCATCGACACATCTGAGCTCGAAACAAGCTCCACAGATCTGTCCACGCTCGAACAGAGTCTCGCTCAGACCAACAGTGGCCATACCGTATCCTGATTTGACGAGATCTCCGTATCCGCACGCACCGCCTACTGCGTCGCGAGGATTGGTCGCTGCGTAGTAGGTGGCTCGTGCGGGGCGCCATTCGGAGGCGGAGGAAGAGACTGAGGAGGAAGAAGATGGAGATGAAGTTGAGGATGAGTAGTGGGAAGTCGCCGGAGGAGATAGTGCGGCGAGTAGGAGGAGGAGTGAAGGGAGAAAGAGTTGCATCTCTGGCGAGAGTGTTGGAGAGATTTGATGTTTTCTTTCCTTTTTTGGGTTATGTCTTAACTCTTTTTAAGTGGGAAAACATTTTGTTTTTTTTTTACCGGTTTGTCGGTCTATTGAAATGACGGTATTACCCTCGATCGAAAGAGCTGGGCTTGTGTTCGTTATAGTCTTGCGTTTGACTTATCATGTTAAAGGCCTACTACTTGATATTTTGGGTTTTTGTACGAGCATTTTTTTGAGAAATTGCACCTTGTACACAAACTTTCTTTAAAAAAAAAAAAATTGTGGATAAAATTTTCATCAAAGATTAGTTCACTTTAGTTTTTGAATGATTTGATCTTATTCAGCATGAATAGACTAAATGCTCACAGGAGATTATGAAATAGGGGTATAAGAGATCACACGAGCCCAAAGGAGATTACCTCTAAGAAAATAGGGGTACAAGAGAACTTGACTCAAATAAAGCTCATATAAATTTAAAAAAAAAAAATAGAAAGAGAGACGCATTTGTACTGCATAATATATAAATTCATCCAAATAATAAAAAAAATCATCCATATAATCAAAACAGTTGCATTTTAATATTTAGTATACTAGATTATAAATCTAGTATACATATATGACTTATTTTCTTAGACTTGTATGCACAATTTTCTCAAACTTAGTTATTCCATACAGAAATTTGATAGAGTTTCGTTTTTTTCATAATCCATTTTTCACTCGGTACAAGCGGCTTTGATGATGGCTTCGAAATGCTGCTTCTCATGGATAAGCCAGTGTCCAGCATGAGGGACCTCATGAAACGTTATCCATGGGAGCTTATCACATATATAAACTAGAACATCTCGCAATATTTGTTTGTCCGCGAGTGCACACCACATATGGACTGATCCTTTGTTAGTATCCGAGAACGGATTGCTTAGCTCCGTTGGATCAAACTCCCAATTTCCATAACCTGCGATGATGTCTCGTTGGCTGCTCACATATTCACCTTGTCGTAAAGCAGCGTCCTATATATATCAGTTACACATATTAATACCTTTCATGAGTGTATTTTCATAAATCTACACAAAATTGTAGAACCGTTTACAACTACACGACTATTTACATGATTACATCAGTCTACAATATACATACCTTGTATGATTGTTTTGAATGTGTTTCCGAAAGTTCTATATCGCGCTCAGTCAGAGTTTTCTTGGGATCTCGATTACTTGGAAACCATTTCTGAGTCATCCACCAATGTAACAACCATGGACAGTAGTGTGCGACTCTAAGGGTCATCTGAAACTCAAATGGTAATTTCTTGATTGCTGCATTCAACAAGTTTTGAGGAATACGTCTCCACCAAAAATTTATTAATGGAACCGCCAATGAAGCTCCACTTAGTCTATGAATATAAATAAAACACACACACATTAGTCCAACTTTTAAACATTTTCTTAAATATTTATGGAAACTACTAAATTATATATATATATTATATATACGTTACATCTCTACGACTTTGCAAATTATTAAACAGAGAATATTATTACAAATGGGTAAATCACATGTACTGTATTTTATGTAATTTTGTATCTATAAGCGTTATAGTTTTAATAATCCACATGGGAAGTACACAATTCACAGACCAATAATCTTGAAATTTCTTGGTATTTTCTGTAAATGATATTACCTATGAGGAATGTATTTGAGGCAACCGTAAACTGGGTAAGCTCCAAGTGACATGCCCAAAACATGGAACCTTGGACCAAGTTGCAATTTGTCAGCAAGTTCTTCGATATCGTATGTATCTGTTTTCAGCGTTCTTGATGGATTTGGATCGCTTTCTCCATAACCAGCTCTATCGAAGAATAAAAAGTATATCTTGAATTCATCAATCATTTCCTGAAGAAACCAACGGAACGTTGTAAGTTTAAACATAGTACCACAAAACAATCATTAAATGTTTAAAATTAATTAATTACCCCCAATATAATCATTTAATCATCACGTTTATACCTGTGTGGTGTATAAATCGACGTTTTTGGAATTCGAATATCCATGGACGACTATTATTTTGTTTTTGGCTTCCTCCTTTGGAAACCCTAATTCTTTGTAGGCTATATGTCTGCCGTCACTAAGTTTGATTCTTGGAGATATCTTGGAAACGTTTTCCGGCAATGGAATCGGTGGTGGCGGTTTTATCGACTTGTATATATAATAGCTTATTAAACCCACAGCCGTAAGTAGAAGCAACATCATTTAGGCCTACAGACAATACATATCCAAACATTGTTGTGAGGGATGCCTTTAAATATAAAAGTGACCATCGTATTTCGATGAAACTTCGGAATATCTAATCACTCGAACAGTTAATAGGAGAGAAAACCAACCTGAGTTGAGGTGATGTAGTTATAATGTGAAGTAAAAACTCTGGCCTAAACATCTCTTAAATAAGAGGATATATTTTTTATATTATTTTCTCTTTGTTACACGTCTTTGTAACTGTAACTTCTTTTGTGATTTCTTACTATAATTCAATTTGGTTATCCTTTTACATTTGTCATCATTAGTGTAATTCCCTCACTTATTTGCATTAAAAATAGCTTCTTAAATCAATGAAATTAATAAACAGATCTATACTATTAAAATTTTATTGAACTTTACATAATTTAGTTATGATATTTTCCAATATCTTTATCTTTTTATTTGAACTACTTATGAATATTTGAAAAAAAATCTAACAGAATATTGTTGGCATCTTTTTAAGATTTATTTCCAAAATTATTAAGTTTAAATTATAATTATATTCTAGATTCTGTTACAGATAAATATTCATTTCTATTTAAAACATAAAATAAAATAGTTTATCTATTAAAATAAAAATCATGATCTATTTTATGTGTTTTTTATTTATTTAGAGCATCCTCTAGAAGAAGAAAATCGTAAAAGCAAAACTAATAAATTAAAATTTATCTAGATAGTATGATATATTTCCAAAACCTAAAATAACACTATATATACACCTTCAACTAAAACTACAAAATACCATATTCTCACAATTGCACAATTGCACATCTCGACATGTTTATCTTAATATTTTTAGATATTTTGCCAACTAAGGTAGAGTAACATCTTTTATAGAGTTAGAGAACAACACTAAAATATGTACAACTTAATCTTAAATTTTTAGAATGTAAACATCAATATTTTTTATGTATATCTAGTTTTGAATTAATAGAGTAGCTACTAAAAAGAATAAAAATGTATACTTCTAAGTCTATACATATAAAAGAAATGAAAAACATTGATTGATTTGTTCAAATATGTTTGTAAAAAACTCTTTGTTAAAAGTTTCTTCACCACAAAGTTATTAATATATTTCGAAAAAGAATCTTAATTAGGTAATATCTAAACAAAAAGCTTTGTAACGTATCTTGCATTACCAATAAATTTTATTGTCTTTTTGCATCTTTTATTGTTATTATGTGTAACTCCCGTCAGTTATTTTTCGTGTATTCATAAAAAATAATTAATTTGGAATTTGAACCAAAATATATAATTTACAAATATATGTACATATCATAATAAATACTAACAATGAGCGTTTAGTGCAAGTGCAGCAAAGGTTCATGGGGCAAGGTCATACACTTCCCACAAAAAAAATATTATAATTATTATTTCTGATGAATTTGGCTCGCGACGGTTGTTTCTGCTGAACCGGTTCATAACTATTTTTGTGGGTTCTATGTGATTCACTATTGGTCTTTTTTTTAAAGTCAAATGAAAAAAAAAATTAAAAATTAAAATCATGAACCCACCACGGATTCATTGATGCGCATGCCTTTAATCGTTATTGTTCTGGATGGTTTCATTGACTTAAAACAGCGATACTACTTAAAAGTTAAAATTTACTAATAATTTGCGAAAAGGTTAGAAAGAATTCAGAGAAGAGAAACTTTAAAGATAGGAAGGGTTTTCCAGATTCATCGAGCACTTTGTCTAACTTATCTGTTTTTGTATTTGCTGTCAAGCGTGACACGCATAACATGTTACAATTGTGTGTTTACATCGTGTTTTTTATAGCACCTTTTAACTAATACTAAGAGCATGTTTAATGGAAGTTGCTTAGAGAGTTACTTAGAAGGAGATGAGTACTTAATTTGAAAAGAGAGAGAGTTGCTTAGGAGGAGAAGAGTTGCTTAATTAAGCACTTTTCATTCTCTCTCTTCAAATTAAGCACCCCTCTCCTCCTAAGCAACTCTCTAAGCAACATGCATTAAACATGTTCTAAGACGCATTTTGATGCATAAATATATAAGTTCATCGAAATAATTTAAATAGCTGCATCTGACATTAGCATACCAGATTTCTATATTACTATTGACATATACATAATTTTTTTTATTAAACTTATATACACATAGTTTTCTTAATCTTAATCATCCCATTAAATTTTGATAGAGTTTCCTTTCTTTCATTTTCCATTTTTATTCGGTACAGGCGGCTTTGATGATGGCTTCGAAATGATGCTTCTCATGGATTAACCAGTGTCCAACATGAGGGACCTCATGGAACTTCATCCATGGCAGCTTATCACATATATAAACTAGAACATCGCGTGATATTTGTTTGTCATCGAGTGCACACCACATATGGACTGATCCTTTGTTAGTATCCGAGAATGGGTTGCTCAGTTCGGTTGGATCAAACTCCCAATTTCCATAACCGGCGATGATGTCTTGTTGGCAGCTCACATATTCACCTTGTCGTAAAACAGCGTCCTATATACAAGTTTTACATATATATTAGCTTTTCATGAATATGTGTTTAACATATACTTAATGTATCAGCAGGATAAATCTAAAAAATATTGACACCTACACGAATATTTGAATCAGTCTATACATATACACATACCATGTACGATTGTTTATAGTATATTTTTGAAAGTTCTATATCGCGTTCAGTCCAAATTTTCTTGGGATCTCGATTATTTGGAAACCATTTCTGAGTCATCCACCAATGTAGCAACCATGGACAATAGTGTGCAACTCTAAGTATCATTTGAAACGCAAATGGCAATTTCTTTTTTTTTTTTTTTTTAAATGGCAATTTCTTGATTGCTTCATTCAACAAGTTTTGAGGAATACGCCTCCACCAAAAGTTTATTAATGGAATCACCAATGTAGCTCCACTTAGTCTATAAATATAGATAGAACACCCACATTAGTCTAGTTTTAAACATTTTCTTAAAACAAGATCCGTTATGGGATTTGAATCCGTGTAGTGATAGAAACTACTAGATGATAAATGTAACTTTTCATAACTGGACCTTTTCTTGTCATGGTTTAGATAGATAAAGGGTAATCTATTGCCGATTCTGCCGAGAGAACTCAACTTAGCGAAGTCAAACTCCGGTGACAAATCGTATAAGTAAACATTTAATCACTTGACTAAAGAAAATTCCACATAAAGGAAATAGTTAAAAGTTAGTCATATATATCTTTTGTCTTTGTCAACAAAAAGACAAATATATATATATATATATATATATATATATGATTGAATGAAAATATGAGAAAACATTGTGTATCTAAAGTTGTAAATTATTTATGGATAAACCACATGTAGTTTTATGTAAATTATATGTATCTATAAGTGGTACAGTATTGAAATCCAAGAAGTAACAAAATTTTCAAATAATCTTAAATTTCTTGATATTACCTATGAGGAATGTATTTGAGGCAACCGTAAACTGGGTAAGCTCCAAGTGACATGCCTAGAACATGAAACTTTGGACCAAGTTGCAATATGTCAGCAAGTTCTTCGATATCATAGGCATCTGTTTTCACCGTTCTTGATGGATTAGGATCGCTTTCTCCATGACCAGCTCTATCGAAGAACAAAAAATATATCTTGAATTCGTCAATCATTTCCTGAAAAAAATCAGAAAAACGTTGTAGGTACAAATATATTATTACAAACATATATATCATTAGATAATTAAAAGGAAATTTATTACCCCAATATAACCACTTAATCATAACGTTTATACCTGTGTGGTGTATAATCGACGTCTTTGGAATTTGCATATCCGTGGACGATTATTATTTTGTTTTTGGCTTCGTCCTTAGGGAACCCTAATTCTCTATAGGCTATATGTCTGCCATCACTAAGCTTGATCCTTTGTGCTTTATTGGTAACGTTCTCCGGTAGTGGAATTGGTGGTGGCACTTTTATCGACTTGTATACATAGTAGCTTGTTAACCCCACAATCGCAAGTAGCAGCAACATCATTGATTAGACCTGTGGACAATACATGCATATACAACTAATGTTGTGAGACTATAGTCTTCCGATGAAACTTATATATAGGAATATGTCTAATGATTCGAACAAATAATAATAGAGAAAACTAACTTGAGGATTAAGAGATGTAGTTAGTGTTGTGAAGTAATGGAAACTCTGGCTTAAATATCTCTTAAATAAGAATAATTATTTTTTGCTTTTAGTTAAAAAAAAAGATAATTATTTTTTGATTATTTTTTGATTTTAGAAAACTCTTTGTTATTAAGTTTTGTTCACTTCAAAATTAATCAGATTTGTCAACAAAATCTTAAATTGTGCTAAATCTAAAGCAAAAAAAAGCTTTGTAAAAAGTATTCTACATTATCAATTAATTTGTTTGTCTTTTGCAGTTTTGTGGTTATTTAGAATTGTGTAACTCCCGTAAGTTATTGCTTTAGATTTTAATATATTATCTTCTGATTATAATAAAGACATTTTAGTAAAGATGTTTTTATGTTTTCACCATAGTGGTATTTAGCTTTATAACAACCTCCACGGGACTATTAATTATGTCAGTGGTAGACTCAAATGTCATAAACTTGTATAAGTACTGAATCAGAACATAATGATTGTGGAAGGAAAGAACCAGAACATACTCAAACTTGATTATATATTTCTCTAATTTCAAACATTTTTTTTATAGATCATCATTATACGGTGTTGTTATCGAGTTCAGCAAAAAAAAAAAAAATCTTCCATTTTCCTTAAAAGCAATTCCATTTGTTGAGCAATGAATTAACGTTTCAATCAAACCATTTATCCTTCAAACTATTGGACAATTATTTATAACCAACCAAAGGTCCAAAATTAACTAAAAAAAACCATAACATGTCCATAAAATCATCATAACTCATAACCAATCGAAATCATTCAAAATCCAACATAAATAAATATCTCAAACAAAAGAAAGATAAAAGCGAATTTTCCATAGAATATTATCTCATTCCAGATCAGGACAATTGAGCAAGAGCTTGATGTCTCGAGCAGTGGAGCTGATCAAACTACTCACCATGTTCACTAACTGCTCATTCACCCCTCCTGTCCTATTTTCTTCACCAGAGACAAGGATCTGAAAAGCCACTGTGATTATAGTTCCACCCTCCTCAGCCCCCATGGATCGCCGGCCATCGTTTGAGATGGTGAAACCAGAAGAAAGGACTGGAATATTAATAGGGTCGACTTCACCTGAGGCCGCGAGATTCATTAAAGCCATGTCGAGAGGGGCGTACACTATCATGCCTCCTAATGCGTCCATGTAACAGTCTTGTATCAGCATCATGTTCTTGTTTGGGCCTTCTGACATAGATATGCCATCATCCTCTCTTAGAATGGGCTGATATAGTATATAACAAGTTAAGATTGTGAGGTGAGTTATGTATATTTAACAACCAAAGACTAATAATTAAGAGGCCGTGAAGGAAATGTGTGTACCTGGAGAATGGAGATGTAGTTGTTTTCTTTTGATCCGGTGATAACGCGAGCGATCTCAGTGAGTGCGGTTCCATGGCAAAGTACGTCCCACTGCATGCATGCAATCGTGGTTTCATGTTAAGACGCGACGTAAGACAACAATAGGAGGAAAAAATGCGAATTGCTTAGCTCTAAGCATCCATGTTAAATTATGCTAATCATAATGGCGCGGATGGATTCAGGTAGAAAACTTATGGAATTCATATTTTCACTCCCAAGTGTGGTACCAACCATATTAGAATTTTATAATACAAACGTTCAATATAACGGAAAGAATGTATGATGTTTAATATTTATAAACCCCAAAACTAACACATTAAAAACCAAAAAGAGTTAAATTTGGTCAAATAATGATATTTTATATAAAATATATCTAAATGTCAAAAATTCAAATCAACCAAAACAAAATTTGTGTTTTAAAATAAGTCTAACAGATTCCTTTGAGAGCAACAAAATAATGATTAATTTGAAGATTAGCGATATTTATTCAGTGAAAATCTTGAAATAATTTATCCCAAAAAAAAAAAAAAATCTTGAAAAAACCGGAAATCTTACATAACCGGTCTACCACACATTCTGTTTGTCATTTTATGTATCTATTCGATAATGATGCATGCAGGTCAACAAAAGAAAGAAGAACCTGGTGACGAGTCTCATTGTTTCGCAGGCGGTTGAAGACTTGCAAAGGAGTGACCGGGACTGAGAAAGAAGACGCAGCACTGGCAACTAAACCGGATGGTTGACCGGCTTCATTGTTCATCCTGATCGAGATTCTGACTCCACATTTAGACTGCTGTGGAAACTCAACTTTCCCGGACATGGTTAGCATCTCGTTGAAGTTCCTCACCATTCTTTCCCCTAATTTCATTACACTCCTTCTTCCTTCCATTGTCCGTATAGCTGCCAAAGACATTACACATTGCTTTATTATCATAAACATGACTTAAGGCATGAGTTGTGTGTCTAAAAGAATATCTCAAAATTTTATTTTAATATTTAAAAAAAAAAAGAATTTACTAGTAACTAACATAGGTTAAGTGATTTTCTTTAATTTTCTTTTTTTAAACATTGATTAGTTAAGGATTTTTTTTTGTTATAATTTATGATTTGATTAGTAAAGTTCTAGTCATAGATGAAACGTACCTTCACTCCAATCAGTAGCTGGAACGTTTAGGGTGGAGTAGAAAGTCATCCTTTCACACATTCTTTCCAGAGTGGTGGTCCAACGCTTAGCCCCGTAGCCTGAGCCGCCACATAAAAGCTCTCTATATATCCGATGTGCATCGGGTTTATGGTCAACTTCCACATGCTCGATCCATGCTACCTGCATTATTTCATTTGAATTCAAATTATATAACGTATACATATAAGAATAGAGAAACATGTGAGATTGAGGCAATGAAGACATGCCTTGGAGCGACCACCGGGCAATGCTCTGATGAGACAACCGGAAGGACGTTTATAACAAAAAGGGTTGCTTTGGTCAGACTTAAAAATTCTATGGGACACATCAGCAACAATCCAGAGCCCTTCCTCGATCATTTGGCAGCACCTAACGATCATAAACTCCCTTGCTGGCACTAGCGGCGACAGAATGTGTAATTCCTCCCATATCTATTAGTTTCATGCACATTCAAAAACATATCACATATTAAGATCCAAATTGATGAATCGAATGAAACTGTATGTAAATAATTTGATTGGTAACACCACAATGAAAATACGTCTTACCACTTGCAAGTTGTTGCAGTTTTCTTTGGTAGGAAACTCGGATCCGAACTTACGAATCGTCATGGCCTTGGTCACGATCGTTGGAAAAAGCCTTTTCCATTTTTCCTACAACAGAGAAGTACATATTCAAATTTGCTTTTATTAAGTGCATAAAAAATTGTTAGTAACAATGTAACGAGCATATATTAAAAGCTGAAATTGTAACATGTTTTTCCAAAATTATATAAACTATGAGAAAACTACAAACGAAGGTCTAATATAAACTTCCAAAATTATTAAAAGTTTTTTTCTTCTAAATGATTAAGACAAAGACGTATATATTGTTTAAAAAGTCATATTAAATAATCAGATATCAAATTCAAATGCACCACTAAGTTATAAGCCTAATTAACATTATCCTAATATTTGTTTGATGATGCATATATAGAAGAATACATACCGAATCTAAGAACATTTCAATCAAGTCTTTTGCTTCTATGGGAACCACCGTGACATCTTTGGAAGACTCGACACGAGCAGACAAGTTCCTGAAATTTTTGATCGAGTGCGAGAACTTCTCATAGCTCTTTTGGTCAATTACATATGTTCCATCGATAGATGACATAACCCATAAAGCTTCCTCGGTAGCGAATAGACACTTGAGCTCTTCAACAGCTCTTGCTGCAATTTCAGACAATTGCGTTATATCCATTTGGGATAGTAGTTGTAGTTGGATGTCTTGAGAAGTTGATGATCCCGATGAGTTAGATGGAGCAAATGAGTCCACCATGGTTTGATGATGCTGGTTGATCATGGATACATTGTTGGCCAGATTGTCACGCTATTTTTTTTTTAAAAAAAGAAAAATATTATATATTATTACGGATTCTGTCAAAACAAAAATGCATTTTCATGGTTATGTTACTCCATTATTTCACTATTATGATGGTCTAATTTTTAACAAGACTTTTTTGACAAAGACGATATATTATAATTTCATTCAAAAGTTATTAGGCAAACAGAAATACATCCAATAAATAATTTACTATTTACAGTATTGTTTACTAGGTATTTTGCCTCACATGCAGGCATAATCATATTAAATATTTATTACTACTATATTGAGTAATAATTTATTATTAAAAGTAAAAATTTTATTTTTTTACTTAGTTAATTTTATACATCTTTCTATTTCATAATTTAAATTTTCTTTATTTTTTAGATAAGAAGATCATATAGAGAAGAATTATCTTCTTGTTAAAAATAAAATATGTTTTTCTTTTTAAAAATAAAAATTTTACAATAGAAAATTAACCACCTTAACTTGTTACTAGTATAGATAAGAGATAATAATAAAAGATCACGTGCTCAACTTCTTTTCAAATCTGATAACAATAGAACTTTTAAATATTTTACTTATCTTTTAAATATTTTTGAGTAAAATAATCAATTTTCACTTAGTTAATTTTATACATCTTTCTGTTTCATAATTTAAATTTCCTTTAATTTTTTAGATAAGAAGATAATATACAGAAGATATCTTCTTTTTAAAAATAAAATTATGTTTTTAATTTAACAATAGAAAATTAACCACCTTAATTTATTATTAGTGTAAATAATAGATAATAATAAAAGATCACGTGCTCAACTAGAACATGGAAATATTTTAATTATCTTTTAAATATTTTTTGAATAAAAAGAATTATTTTCTACCTAATTAATTTTATACATCTTTCTGTTTCTTAATTCAAATTTATTTATTTATTTTTAAATAAGAACATAATATTCAGAAGAGTTATCTTCTTTCTAAAATAAAAACATGTTTTTACTTTTAATAATAGAAATTAGCCACCTTAAATTATTATTAGTTAGATAATAAAAGATCACGTGCTCAACTTCTTTCAAATCTGAGAATAATAGAACATGGAAATATCTTAATTATCTTTTAAATATTTTTTGAGTAAAAAATAAAAAGAAGAAATTAGAAGGAATTTTGTGAGAATATTTGAAAATAAAAACTGAGACAATATATGTTTATCCTGAAAAATATAATTTTGCAAAATAAATCATTAGAATATACATCATATCACATCAACCAGAGCATAAGGAATAAGCACTAATTATAACTGTTTTTCTTAAAGACATGTTTTTTGTTAGCTAGCTGATTTTGTTATTAACTAATAAATAAACATAATTATTCATTAAAGATACTAAATACTTTAGTCGCTTTAATTTTTAAGGTGGAAACTTGAAAGTGAGCACTTCATAAATGATAGCATATAGATCCACAACTAAATATCTTATCATTTATATAATCGTTTTTCAAATACAGATGAATTACATTTTCAAAATTTAGATAAAAAGATAATGGTAGTTGAAACAAATAATAACACAAAAATTTATACTAGGATATAAATGTCGGTAATCTTCTCTATTAAAAGAGAAGTAGCATTTATATCTCCTAAAAAAAAAGTCATATTGGACCATCTCATTAATATGAAATATTTAGTTATTTATATTAATCAATCAAATATATATAATTGAAGAAATATTTTGATAATTAATAAGATATTAGTAATAAATTTGTTGAGAAAATATTTAATAAAATCTTACTAAGAAGTTTAAATATTTTTATAAAATATGCATTATTTAATTTCATGATTAGTATATATAAATATCTATACTAATGTTACTTAAAATAAAATTTTTTATATTTTATAATTTAGTTATATTCTATATTATATTAAAATAAAATGCTATGTGAAATGAATATAAAATATATTAAATTGGTAAAGGAAAATATTTTATTTTTAAAAATTATTTTATTCAAATAAATAAATAAATATCACTCACTTTTAAAACATATTAAAGTTTTTAAATCATAATATTTTTATACAAAAAATGTTCACAACAAATACATTATATAAAAAATTATATATGAATTTTTTTTTTAACTTACAACAATATATTATATAAAACAATTAAAATCATAAGGTTATACAATTATACAATATATAACGATAGAATGTAAATCATATATGAAATGTTTTGTTATATTTTTATAAAATGAAAAATACTGTACGAATGTGCGGATTCAAAATCTAGTAGAAAATTAAATAAAATGATTACCTTTTTTCTGAGAAACGTGTTTACTAAACACAGGTTTTGAAAATTGTGTTCGCGGTTTATACCAAGAGGCGGACCACCACAAGTTGGACAAGTAACATTTCTTAAAGCCTCTAACATAGCTTCGTTTTCACGTCTGATCCTTTCATTTTCTCCACGAAGGAAGTTGTTAGCATTTCTTTCTTCCTGAGCCTATATCACATGAAAGTTATCAATAACAATTGAAATATCAATTTGTTGAAACAGCCTATATAATTACATATTAAAATATTGGTTGAGATGAATACTTTGTTCTGAGTTCTTTTGTTTTGAAACCAAAATTTGATCTGGTCTGGTTCGAGATTCAGCTCCTTACATAAACTGAGTCGTTGCGATTCCTCTGGATGAGAACATTCCTTGAAATAACTTCATTCATTCATACGAAAATTTAAAACCAATTAGTCAAATAAAAAATTCAATAAGTTTGAAATCAACAAATAAACGATAAGAAAAAAAAGAGTTACGCTTCAAGTCTCTGAGTCTGTTGAACAGTGTGGCGATGAGAAGTTCTCTTCTCTTTTTTTGTGGGGTTCACCATTTTGTTCTCTACCACAGAAAATAAGATTTTTGTTGTAGTTTGTAACAATATTTTTTTAATTCACAAGCAAATACCACCTTATATAGAAAATGGAGGTGTAAGAATAATTCAAAATAAAATCATTTTATAAATGGGAATAAAAGGAAACTATAGATATTACTATTGGAGTTGGTCATACATACTATATTTATAAATGGAATAAAAGGTAATTTTAAATCTTATTTCATCCACATAAGTAGAGATATATACCAGCTTTTATACAATGTATTGACTACCAAATATGAAAAATTAAACTAAGCAAGATATAATTTTGTGTTCATAAAAGAGCAAAGAAATCATTTATTTTGAGAAGAATTATTTTCTATTTTATTATATGTAGTTTATTTTTAGGATGCACTCAAACCAATTCAAAGGTATTAATTTGTCTTTTTGTTTACCTAGTATGGATACAAGAATAAATTTTAAATAATATTATTAACCTTTAAGTTTGAGATTTCTGCTAAATCTTTAAGTTTATTCTACCTTTTTTAAAAAAAAAAATTTTTTGAAAAAAATGGTGTTGAGATTGTGCATAATTCTAATAGATTTATGAAATATTAGTAGATCATAATATTTATATCCACATAATTAATAGATGATCCCAATCCCTATTGTCTAAGGTATGTTTCATTCATTATTTAGTATCTTTATTACGGATTAGTTCAACATCAAAACAGTGGTTGGTGGTATATTCTAAGCCACCTTACCAAACTAAACTCGCAATCTACCTCAAATTCGTGATTAATCTTACCAACACGTATTTTTGATCAAATCAACATTTAAGGTTAAAATCTTGTGTTTATACTAAACAGCCAATTCCATATTCAGATTAATAAAAAATAACTACGCATCATCCAATCACACGATCTATCATTATCCAATCAAAATTAATTTATTATCACTGAGAATCAAGCTTAGCAATTCTTTCCATGTTCAAATACCACATTTTTAGACCAACAAAGATATTCTTGAATTTGACTCATTGAACCATATTTGGTCAATTATGTTAATCTTGATTCGATCCGACAATTTTGCCTCCATCCAAAAAAAATATCTAACAATTACCTCTTGTTTAGCCCACATCAAATTTATTGAACAATTTAGCTAGTAAAAGTGTTCAGTAATAGTAAACCAGTGTTAAGTAATAGTAAACCACTTGATGCATGTCTAACTAAAAGTTGTTTAATGGCAGATCCATGTGAAAGATGGTCTCTTATGTGACATCTTTTATTTTTTTTTAATGAAAATTTGTGCATAAAATTACTTTAAAAATCAATAGCATGTTGGTAAAGTTTCTTATCTGAATTTTCAAAACCAAAGTTAGAATCCTACACCTTTGGATATTTTTTCTTTTAAGTTGATATAAAATTTATTATTGGGTTCACCACTGGTCGGTAGTCCATACAAACATTGAACTGGAGCCCTTCGAGTATTTGTTAATTTTTACAAATTTCAAAATAGATAAATAAACATGGACCAAAATCCAATATATTATAACAATTGGTCCAAACGAAGATATTGCTGCCTACGTAAAACAATGACCAATACCCAGGCTGGCTTTGAAATATTTTGGGCCGGAAATCCAAAAAAACTATAAAGATAAAAAGAAAAGTGAAAATAACTCAAAAGAGTCAAACCTTTCAGTATTTGTTAATTTTAATACGACTAAGTTAGAAGAGATTTTTTAAAAATAGTGGCCAAAAAATACTTATTATAAAAACACACATGTTTCTATAGCTTTCCCTCAAAATCGCTACTGTCAGCAACCTCTATTCCTCTTTCATCCTCACGGAATATCAATAAAACTCGTTTTGAGCTCTTGGCTTTTCATTCGCCCATAGTAAAACTTTGGCAAAAAATTTTAGTTTCTGCTTTGTTTTCTAGTAGGCATCGATAAATATGAACGAGCTTGTTTTCTCGAAACTGCTTACAGCTTAAAAAGAAGGATTGCCATATTTTACTACTTTATGATAAGCTCAGTGTGAAGTATTGAACTATGTTACTACTCAAAACAAAGTGTGTTAATCAAGCAGTAAAAATTCTTATATTTCACATTTTCCCTAACCATCACAGTAAATCCCGTAGGAGCTCTCACATCCAATTGTTATAAATCCATCTAATCATGCTCGTAATTGACAAGGCAACAAACTGTTTTCTGAACACAAACCACATTTACCGACAAACAAGTATTAGACACAAAATATTCCACATTGGATATTGAAAAAAATATTAATTAGTGTATAAAATAAATAAATAAATTCACTTATTACTAATTGATTTTAAGTTAGAGCATGTGCATCGCATGCACAAGTAGAGACGCTTAGGGAAAAAGTGGGATGGGGAGCCACAGAAAAAAGAGAAGCCGACGCCACAAACTTCCCTATAAGCGTTTTCGGTTGGTGCTTGGCCTGTTTTGCGAGTCCCATGACACGTGGCGACCTGCAATTAGTCTTTTTCTACTTTTTTTTTTTTTAAATCCGAAAAAATAGAAAAAAAGAAAAAAATTAAATATCCCCTAGTAGGTGTTGGGATAAACATGCTCTTAGAAGCTTATAAAGCTTAACATGGTATAAGAGTTCTCAATCCATGAAATCCAACCCATCTAGTCTAAAATGACCTTTTGATCCTTGTCCAAGTATTTTGAAATTGACATTTAAAAAAACATTGCCACTCAGAAAACCATTATATTATTAGACATAGCATAATGTTCCATAATAGTTGAAAAAAATCTTTAGTTTAATGATATATATAATAGATAGACCAATCCACACCATTCTATATTGGAATCCTATTTCGCTTAACATTCAGAGCTTGTTATGGTTATTATCAACCATTCTATATTGGAATCCTATTTTGCTTAACATTCAGAGCTTGTTATGGTTATTATCAGATACTTTCTAGTTGATCAATTTCAGTTTCTTTTAGTCTTCTTCTGGAAGAGTAATTCCCCGAGCATGTGTTGCATTTCATTTCAACAAACTCGACACGTTTTACTCCAACCAACACAAGCCATTCAATTCGTTTTTGTTTGCTTCTACAGTCACAGTTACACATGAAGTTAGTCTTTATCACAAATAGTTAGATCCAATTCTTATACCTTGTCCGAGTATATAAACGAAAGTTTTATTAACCATTAACGGTTTGTAGAGAAAGGAGACGAAATAAAACATAACATACAATATATTATTATGACGACACAGCAACATAATGCATAGTAGTAAATTTACTCAAAACGTCATACAAAAGTGAGATTAGAATCATATGGGAATGGAACGGGTGACTTTGGGATAAACATGTGTAGCCGGATGGCCCATTATACGGCGACCTTTGGCATGCTTGAAGATATAAACCAATGCACCCACCGGCCACTCCACAACTGCGGCTGCTACAAACGCCACAAGCCCTAACGTTGGTCCTACCACTTTGCATCTACATGGGTTTCCTCCTGTTCCGCACTGCACGCATATAGGAATCATCCTTCTGATAGCTTCAAATGCTATATATTGTTGTATATACGAAAAAAGGATCAGAGAGGTGAAATGTTTGTGGATGTTATAGAGATGTGATGTATCGAATATGAGGAGAATAATTGGTGTAGGATTATGGAGAGTTGGATTGTGATGTTTATATAGAAATTCAAGCGAATCATTTGAGTTCCTTAAACTTTTTCTTCTTGTTTTACTATATTTGTTCTTTAAGTAACGTAGGGTCGGTCCATGTTTATTTTATTTCATCTTTGACAGGTGGTGTGTGCGAAAGATGTACATGTGGTTTCAGGAGGATACGTGTTTGCTTTCTCTCTATCATTGGTGACAAATTGTTGAGGATATCGTCGGTTTGCTCTTGAAAAATTTCAAGATATTGGACCTTGAAAATGGTTATATGAAATATTCTGTGGCTTGTCACCAGATTCACGTATGTGATTTTAGTGTCAAGAGTATCATGACCAAAACGAGATGGGCCTCAAATAGGCTAGACTCGGAATCAACCAGGCTAGTCCATTATATATATACGTACACGACCGGTGTGCCTGGTGAACTGTACCAGACTGAACCGTATGATCAATGAAGGCTACTACTCCAGTGCCAGTGCAACCCGGAACTCGGTTAAGCCTCTCTTGGTTATTATATAATGTGGGATGGTTTGGTATTGTTATAAATATCTGAGGAAAAGTGCTATAAAGGGTGTTATAGCGTAGCTCAATTAGATGAAATATGGTATTCAGATGATCATATTATGCATGTTCGAGTTATTGAATTGTATGTATTATTGTCTAACAAAACTACACGTATTAACTGTAATCGTATATTTGTTTTGCCAAAACGTAGAATATTCGTTGTGATAAAGTGATATAAAACGTGAATTGTTTAAAGTAGACTTTTGGAGTTTGGATGTGTTAGTAATCATAATAATATAAAAAGACTTTGGTGTAGACTTTTGTATAATTGACATTAGACATGCAAAATCTCCACTACTATAATTAACAAGTAACATAAAGTATCTAATATTTTTATTTTCTTACAGAGAAGAGCCTACATATAATATTAGAGGCTGCTGTTAACTAATAAAGTGATACTTTTACCAAAAAAAAAAACTAAAAAAAACAATTTTTAATAAGAGGTGAAGACAGTTTTGACAACAAAAACGAATTGTCTTATTTCAAATGTAACTGGCAAAAATCTTGATTTTTTTTTTTAAATGGTTGTATTTTTTACAATGGAATGACGTTAGCAAGCTGATTAGTTAAACATTAAAACCCATATTATATAATTTAATTCATATGTACTATATTTAAATTTATTCTGCGCACTAAAAAAAAATATAAAAACTAGTACGAACGAGAGGCAACGATTATCATCAAATTTCATTTACCCCCCAAATCTTTGATTAGACAAGAGGACCAAATCCAAAACCCTAAACCCCTTCCCGCGGAGATCAAAATGGGAGATCCGTTGGGATCAGAAGCATCAATGGCGACGAGCCTCAAATCGGATTTGTGCTTAGAGATCGATCCTCCGCTAACCGAAACCGTCGCCACCGCCGAAGACTGGCGTCGTGCTCTCGGAAAAGTTGTTCCCGCCGTCGTCGTCCTCCGCACAACGGCGTGTCGCGCCTTCGACACTGAATCGGCGGGTTCTAGCTACGCTACTGGCTTTATCGTTGATAAGCAGCGTGGGATCATCCTCACTAATCGCCACGTGGTTAAGCCAGGTGCGCTAAGAGATTTTGAATTTGCTGATAGGATTTAGAGATTCAGTTAGCAGTTACATGTTTGATTAGGTGGTTTAGGATAAGGCTTCGCTCGGCTTAGAGAAGATAGTGTTCAGATAGGTGAATGTGAAGAAGACTGAGAATCTATTTAACATTCAATGATTTAATCTCTATATGTTCGTCTTCAGGTCCAGTAGTTGCAGAGGCGATGTTTGTAAACCGCGAAGAGATCCCAATCTATCCTGTATATAGGGATCCGGTAAGTCTCTCATTCTAATCTCTAGATTAGGTTTTAGTTTTCGTTTTTGAGTAAGAGGAAACTGGCATTACAGTTCAGAATATATTGGCTATGCTTTTTCACTTATGCTATAATGTTTCTCTTTTAGTATGAGAATTTGTGTTTAATCTTTGTTATTTTTATTTACTCTGTTCTTTTATTGTAGGCTGACAATTTTTTTGTATCCTTTTCAGGTTCATGATTTTGGCTTCTTTTCTTATGATCCCAGTGCAGTACAGTTTCTGAGTTATGAGGAAATTCCCCTTGCTCCAGAGGCGGCTTCTGTTGGACTCGAGATTAGGGTTGTTGGCAATGATAGTGGAGAGAAGGTAACGTAGATAGCTTGTTCTCTATTAATCAAAGTAGGCTACATCAAAAAAGTAATGCTTCTGGTTAATGGAGTGTGGATTTGCAGGTTTCTATACTGGCTGGTACTCTTGCTCGGTTGGATAGGGATGCTCCACATTATAAAAAGTATTATCTGTTTCACTGTCATGTTTTTGTAGTTCTGCTTATTAATTAACATAAATTTTATGGCTACTCGCTTTGTAATAATTAATTGGTTTTTGGTGTAGAGATGGTTATAACGACTTCAACACGTTTTATATGCAAGTAAGTGTGCTTATTCATTTTTAATGTTTATTACTTTTATTTTAATTACGGCGTATGTGAGCGGAATTGCATGCTATCTCTCCTCAGTTAAAACCTCGTTTCTATCTTTTCTAATTGAGTCATGCTTATGGTTATTTCCCCTTTCCGGTACAGATGTGCCTCTCACTCGTATTTTCTTTTAAATATCGCCTGCTAGAGTTAAAACGTCCTCATTGTAGCTTATCGTGCAATACTCAGCTATTTAATGCTACTGTTACTCGAAGCCTAACCCTGACACATATGCTAGCTTGCTAATATTTTCGCTTCTGTGCTTATAGGCAGCGTCAGGTACTAAAGGTGGATCAAGTGGTTCTCCTGTTATTGATTGGCAAGGCAGAGCGGTAGCCTTGAATGCTGGCAGCAAGTCCTCAAGTGCATCAGCCTTCTTCCTACCACTTCAACGAGTAAGCAATCTCTTTTTCGTACTCATAATGCTTTCGTTAAGACTAGCTGGTTAGTATAATGTTACAATTGAACTAGACGTTTATTTGTGATCTCTTCTTTTCATTAACGGGCCACTGAGTATCTAGTATGAGACACTGAGAAAATCAGACATGGTTCCTGATCTCTATTTTAGTGTTGCTTAATATCATTTCATAACCCCTGAGTTTATTTGACATTTTCTTAGAACTTTTCACCAAGTATGGTTTTCGTTTTTGGAAGGTTGTCAGGGCGTTAAGTTTCCTGCAGAAAAGTATCGACTCGTGCACAGATAAGCCGAAAGCAGTTCATATTCCTCGTGGTACGCTTCAGGTTTGTTTTCCCCTATCGGATTTTGAGACTCTGCATAGTGCAGTTAGGAAAACTTCTACAACTATCAGTTTTGACCCTTTTTTAAGTAGCTGGATTCAGCGGAGATAGTTCCTGTGCCTTAATAACATAGACTACTGTTGTAATTAGGTTCTAATCATCATAATTTTTCTACTATTGTCTCAAATCCTATAGAGAAATGTGTTCCTATTTAGTACCTTATGAATTTGTTTTAATTCGAGAAAGGTTATCCTTGTGACTACCGTGGGATCTGCATGAGTTCTTGGTTTTATTAGGAATGATTCTCATGTTATATTTCTACTCCTTTTCCCACGATAGACAGATTTGCAGAGATTGAGAGGAAGTTCAGTCTCTATTATCTGATATGAGTTTTGGGGTTGCTTATGTAAGGTTTTATCTGTTTGCTTTTGTATTTAGATGACATTTATTCACAAAGGCTTCGATGAGATACGTCGACTTGGTCTAAGGACCGAAACTGAACAGGTACATGATTTTCCTTCTTACTATCGTGGAGGGCATGAGCCACCTTGTGCTACACAGTGATGCCTGAAGCTTAATTTATCTTGGCCATGTAGGTGGTTCGGCATGCATCTCCACCTGGGGAAACCGGAATGCTTGTTGTTGATTCTGTAGTGAGTGCATTACTTTATTATTAACACACAGAGCAGTAATTATTTTTTTATAGAAAATAAGCTGCGCCTGAAAGTTGCATCTTATATATGATGTCTTGACGTGTGGTAGGTGCCAAATGGCCCTGCTGATAAACATTTAGAGCCGGGAGATGTTCTTATTCGTGTGAACGGCACAGTAAGTCATCTCAATTATTCTTTTTAGTGAGGTTTGTTTTTTGTTTGCCTCGAGCAATCTAGAATTTTGATATCTTTGTTGCAACATTGGTGTGAAACGCATGGTTTAGAAGTTACTTAGAACCTATTTAAAAATACAATTTCAGTGTCTAGTTCTTTCTGTTCCTCGTTTTGCTAAATCTCTTTCTATGCATTTCATTGTTACCACAGGTACTTACGCAATTTCTGAACTTGGAGAATCTGATTGATGACGGTGTTGGCCAGATAGTTGAATTGAAAATTGAAAGGGGTGGACAGCCAATAACTGTTAGTGTATCGGTGAGTTCCGTTTTTCTGTAACTTATGTTTCTAACTTTGCTTTCTTATGCGCCTTGCAATATTCTAGGATACATGTAGCCGTTTCTTATCTTTTCTCTTGGCTACTATTAAATTCGTTCTTGCTGCTGAATTCTTTTTCCGAGAAAAAGTCCTCAGTATCTTACTTTAACTTTCATGTAGGATTTCATAATCTGCTTAACTGTGACTGATACTTACTGTCTTTCACAATGATCTAAGTCCTTGTGTTTATGTATTTCCCGACACAGGTTCAGGATTTACACTCAATCACTCCAGATCACTTCCTGGAAGTAAGTGGTGCTGTAATTCATCCGTTGTCTTATCAGCAGGTAACTACTACTATATATCTGATTTTTTTTTTGCTGCTCTGTACCTGTATGCGTGATATTCTTGTGTTTGACAGTTTGAATTGTTGTTTTTATAG